TCGAAAAATTAGTAGAAAAACCCAAGGAACTTAGATCGTTTCTTTATGTTTGTGGCTTCTCAAGAAATTTCCGTTGCTCGCGATTATTTGTTCTCGGTGTCATTTTTCATCTCCGCGGCAAATGGAAATAAACTAAAATTTCGAAAACATTCTATGTAACTAATTATTGCTATTTACTATCCTTAATACCAAGACCAAGAAAACGAATTAGAAATATGATGTTCATCTTCTAAAATGCTAAGTTAATAATCCATCTCTGTGAATGGTTGGTTCTACAGCCATACATCTAAATCATTAATCATTGAACGAGCTTAGAAATAAAGCAAAATATAATATAATGCACCATTTAATAGTGTTATAAAAAAGGACATGATTTAATACATAATTTCTTTGGTTATCGTTTCAGTCAGTATTTGCACTTTGTATTCTTCGATCTGATTTTTAAAGAAGTATTTTTTCTTTGCTATATCATTAAACACTTCTTTGAGAAGAATATTATTTTCAGATTTCTAGTATTTATTTTGTAATACGTTTTTACATAATAAAAAACGTATTTTACACAATAATAAAAAACGTATTTTCATACAATACTAAAAATTTGCCACAACTGCCGGAGACAGAATATATTCTTACTAATTTATGTGGTATTTTTAAATCTCTTTTGTTCCGAAGATGCATTATTCTACTGAATTACTCATATTATTTCATTCTACATTAAAGTATTATGAAAACCGAAAAATAATTCATAACATTAAAATTTGAGAGAAGGATTAATTTTATGCCTTATAGAGACGAATGATCATTTTCCTTTTTCCCCTTAGAAATATAATTCATGAAATATTCTTTTTTCCAACGGAAGAGCAAGATAATTCAATGTCGTAATTAGAGATATATTAATTCTCTTGACGCATTCCAATACAGTTTAAGATTCTGGAATCTTAAAATATATCTAAATGCATAAATATTTAAATAATACTAAAAATAAAATTCGTCTGCAAAAAAACTGTGGTAATATTTTACTTCCATGTTTTGGTATTTATGAACAACACGAAATTGCAAAGCAAGAAACGGATGTGTTGTACAGTTTACTATATATTAACACATTCGTTATTAAACATTTTGTTACATTATCTTCGTTTTCACAGATTACAATTGGGTATTGTTGTAGAGTCATTAGGTTATTTTTAAGCATGAGACATGAAAAATGAGCAACAGCCCCTTCGGGATTCGAACCTGGACCTCCCGAATACGCGCCGAGTGTGCTATCATTACTCCACGAAGGACGGAGAAATATAAAGTTTCATGCTTAGTTGAACTAAATAATCATTCTAGTTATATATGTCAATTCAATGTTTTCAAGAACATTTAAATAAAGAAGATGTTTTATGAAAACTCCAGCTTGGAACTTGGAAGTGTTTTGTCAAAACGAATTCTGCATTTATATTTTTAATGAAGGACAAAATTGCCATTTAATAAAACACTTACCATGCTTTGTGGAAAAAATATATAATAAGAATTAAATATATGTTTATTCAAAATATAATATTCAATACATTTATGTAAAAACTTCGCCGAAGGTAACCGCAAATAGACTGAAAATAGAAAACACGGAAAGAAAGAGCTAAAATTGCATTATATTGACGTTGCGATAAACCACGTAATCGATTTCAGAAAGTAAAGCTATATTAAATGACTGAATTATTAAAAAACATAGTTGAGAACCAGTGTAAAATCTAAAGTTACAACGATCTTATTATGGTTTAGATATTTAAATGAAACTCTATCGATTTCAAACAGATACAGGTCACACTCTTTTCAGGAGTAAAATAATTCTGCAAAATGAGAGGAGTAACGACCGTATTTATATGAAAGCAAGGAGCATGCAAAACTGAATATAGAGCTCTTTGTCGAAGAAAATAGTAATGAAACGAAAATCTATGCTAATAAAACGTTGAAAGCATCAGGAAGAACTAGATTGGATCTAAAGAAGAGATGATGTGAATAACTAAAGAACGATTAAGTTTAAGGATGCAATAAACCAAAAAAAAAAAAAAAAAAAAATGCGAATGTGAAAAGCCTCAAAGAAATCCAGTTCACCAAATGAAGAAGATTTACGGATAACTTTAGCAGAACTAAAATCAAAACTGTGGTTAAGTTTACAAATATGATGAGCTACGGAATATTCAATTATTTATCCTTTTCGAACACAGGATTCTTGTTCCCTGATGCAAAATTTTAACGTTCTCTTAGTTTGATCGATATGATATGTTTCGAGCCACATTGACAAGATATGTCATAAATTCCCCAAGAAATGGAGAATCAACACCTTAATGAACGCACTATCTGAAGGAAATGAACAAACATCATTTGTTTGACATAATAGAGTATAATTAGGAGAAAAAATGTAGCAGGAAAAAATATTTATTTTTATTGAAGATACAAAATTTTACAAAAATGCACAGTCAACATAAATTACTCTTAGAGTATACGAAAATCTTTGAAACTTATACTATACCAAAACGCATAACATTATTACCAACAATTACTATTTGAATACCACAGTATTTGCATCTTTTAGGTTTATTTGTTGAAGTTTTCACGGTAATGTGATTTGTATGATTCTTTCTAGTTTTGCTTGAGAATAAATTCTGAGATGGCCAGCCAATATAATCAGAATATGAGGATGAAGGCTGTGAATTTTGAGAATATTCTCCCCTTAGTTTTAGGAATCCTTGTGCAACACTTCTTTCAAAATCTGGCAGAAAAATGTCGCAATCTACAGCGGTCTTATAGTTTCCATGATACGTGAATAAAATAATTTAGCTATATAAGCAAAATTCCTAAAAATACGCCGCCACCATTTCTTACTTGTAAATGCCAGATATATTACCATAAACATCACAGTTATATAGAAAGTTAACGCAATCCATATATTTATTGCGATTTCCGAAGAGTTTCCGTTTGTTTCAAGCCTTGTAAATCGTACTATAACTATACTGTACCTTTTCACAAATATATATTTTTTATACAAAGCTTTATTGAAATGAAGAGATTCAAAAACTGCTTTGCCAGAATAAAAAACTTGGCACTGAAAGAGATATTGAACGTTTCTTTTATAATAAATTAGAGCTGATACTATCTTACACTAAATTACTATTTCTGATGATTTGATCACTTTGAATTAATCACAGATAAAGTATATATTAAAGAAACGAAATAGCACAGTTTAATAAATATGAAATTTATTGTTTTTAAGATCTGCTAAACTCGATATTATCACCTTCTTCTAAACTCTGAAAGATATTTTACGTTAATGATCTCTGCTCTGTATTAAATGTCCAGAGAAAAAAGTACAAAAAAAGGACTATTTCGAGTTCCCTTCTTTCTGTTAATTAAATAGCTTGCTTTAGCTCATCAATATTGAAACTTAGTCTCTTATAATTAGATGTTAGCAATATATATAGCAGAAATTCAATTAAATAGCTTGCTTTAGTTTAATAATGAATTGACAGTCCAGTGAAATTATTTGACAGTAATTAAAGTAAAAATGTGTTCCTTTACCTTACATTTATTAATAACTAAAAGATGAAACAGAAATTAGCTCTGAATTTAATCTGCTAAATTTAATCATAATTTAGCGTTATTTTACATTAAAAAGCTGAATACATTTTAGTCTAAACTAGAGGACATTTCTTCTATATCTTTTCAGAGCATTGGGAAATTTTATTATTTTATTATAATATGATCCATCATGTGTGGTGCATTAAAGTGACAAAATAATAGTAAGTATATTTCAGTGAGTAGCGAATGCAATTTTAGTTTGATTATGATAAAGTAAATCGTGGCTATTCGTCTATGGTTACGGTATGCATTATTCAAAAGTACACATCAGTATCGCCACTGAGGAAAGAGTTTTAATAATGCACCAATGAGCTTCTATTGCCTTTGAAACTCTGTATATGAGCGTATGTTGTCAATGCTTTATTCTGTATTTGTTTCGCAATTATATACGTATGGTGTATAATTGCTACTACCATTTTAGTAGAGTAAGTAGTAGTAAGAAAAGTAGTTTAGTTTATTCGATCGTGAACTTTTCAGTTTCGTGAAACGTGTCACGCACTGATATTCGGATTAATGTTCGTGGCATATTATCGCTCTTTATATCGAGAAAAATCACTCAAGATATATAATTAGCGTCGAATATTATGCGTTTACTTACACCGGTGGATTAAGAGAATTTAAATGTACAATTTTGTAATTGAGCTGAGAATAACTGAAAATGTTACAATGAATCTAGTATTTTTCCTATCTCAATGCTTGCAATTTTTTATTTTTAATGTGCAATAATCAAAATATATATTGTGAATAATCTGATTATACCTATTGTTAACATTAAAAGTTATATATTAAAATTTAAGAACATTCGTTGTGAATTATACAAATTCATTCTGTTTGAACAGCATTTCTTGTGCAGGCAATACATTTAAAATGAAACACACTAAATGTGTAGGAATGCAAATTAGGAAAGTTTGGTTTGAATAAAACTGAGCGTTGGCTTTTTTTATAGAACACCTTTTGTTCCATAGATTGCAATAAAATTGCTAAGACTTCAACTATTTACATATATAATTATGCTTGTATTTGATCTAACTTCGCACTGAAAATTTCCACAACGCAGTAATTATTTTACGCAGTAAATTGCGTGGCAAAACATTTTCAACCATCTTGCTTAAAGCGTGGCAAAGGTCATGTAAATGCCAGAAATATTACCGGAAGCCCATTGTCGGTGGGTATACACATGTGCACTTACGAAGTAGGGTGCCGATCTAGTATTTATCGTCAACGTTTTTATCTACCGGTAGGATTCTTTATTCTTGCATCAATATTCAATGTTTTTGTGTATTTAATTTGGATTTCATCATGCAAGAAGTATGTAAAAAAGATAAAAGTAATTGAATAATGCTAGTAATAATAATGATAAATATAATAAGAAAGCTATGGACTATTGAAAACGTTTTATTGTTGTTGCTGTATCTCATCTGTCTAACATATTCAAACCAAATCCACGAATATTATCGTTGCAAGGAGTGCAATTTTTTGCGTCTGTCAGTTGCCAACATGTTTTAGCACATTACAGGTGACAACACATCCTCTTAGTTCCATCCCAGTTTTGAGAGACAGCATCCGGGGAGGGACCGAGAGTGTTCCAGCTCTCTTTCCTTGTCCCCAAACCATTCTAGAGGACTTTCGGTTCACAGTATAGTCAGACTGCCCCCATGCTGCAAAGACACTATACATTTGCAACATCCATGCCTTCTCTGGTTTCGATCCGGGCCGTTCGGTATGGTAGTCAGAGTCATTAACCATTATCCTGTTGGGCAGCTATTGAAAATTTATTAAAGTTATTTATATTTATTATAATGTATTAATAATATAGTACAGATATATAATTAATTATATATATAATTCATTAATAAGATTGTTTTTATTTTACAGTGTACAAAAAATTAAAATGATATATTTAATTATTAATGGCGAGACTGCATTAGTTTAATTAAAGATAAGTAACCTTTTAAATTAAAATTCGCTTTCAATTAAATTACTTGATTTTTCATTTTTAAAGAATTACAGTAAACTCCCTCTTAACTGGCATAAAACCTTGGACGACATGCACAGTCAACCAAAACCGCAGCTAAAACAACAGTACTCATAAGAAAGAGAGAAACTACAGATGAATAAACAATATTATTACAATTAATAGAAAAGTACTGTTAAAAATTTACCAGAATTTTAAGCGGTTTACTTTGGAGAATACGCTCGTTTGGTTATGTAAATTAAATCAGCAATTAGCAAATTAAATCAGCAATCAAAATAAAAATGAACAGCCTTGAAAAGATAAAGTGCTATATTTTTGCTCCCATTACTCTCGTACTTCGACAGATGTAAGTCGGAAACAGAATATTGACAGCTGCACATTTAATGGGAGTAATATTTATTCAACAGCTGAAAACGGGAAATTTTCCATTATTAATAACCTATTATCCTAGTAAAACACTTTGTATAGTCAAACGTAAAAATTTGTAAAGTAAAAATTTAATTTTTATCCTTGATGTTTTATTTTGGTAAGAAATTTTGAAAAGTTCTTGAAATGATAGATTTCAAATTTTGGATAAAATTGGACAACCGTGAATGTTACTTTTTGAAGCCATTAAGAACTTGTAATTGACAAACGAAAGTGATACTTTACTTGAAGCCCTTAACTGGTTTTAGTGAAAAACTACATTAAAATGCAATCCAGAACTTTTCAAATTTAATATCAAAATTTTCATATGAATGGGAACAATGTGCTAGTTTTGGGCTAAATTAAAAAACCCGAATTGATACTTTACTTGAACCTCTGAACACTTTTCCGTATAAAAATAACAATGATATGATCCTTAACTTCTCAATTTTGGAATTTAAAAAACCTATATGCATATATGATGCATATACAATCGTGATCGAGGAAATATATTTGACTTTTTGTTACGTGATATAACGAAGTGTTACTTTACTTGGAAATCTTAAAATGTTTTTCCGCGAAAAAATATAGAATCACTATAATAAGAACTTAGGCTGTCATAATGCAGCACATTTTATTTGTTATATCTAGATATAGTTATATATAGGATATTTTTGTTATATGTATAGATATGATATTTATTTATAGGCAGCCGTAGAAGAGACTGACTTTTATAACAGCCCCTCTTTTGCAGAACTTCAAAACACTCGTAATGCAGGCATGTAACACAAAAATGCATTTGCTATCCTCTTGCACTATTGACAATGACAGGCATAAGTGCGAATTCGGAAACACTTGTTGCTTTGCTTTATATTGAACGCACGGTAGTCAGTATTGATCTGTAATTCCAAAAACTAACGAGCATTGTTTACTAATGCCTAAATATCCCAGATCAAAATTAATCTAAATTTGTTAATTATCTAGAAATAGAAAAGAAGAAAATTAAATTATGGTATTCGTTTCAAAGTATTTATTTTAAATATATTATAAATACTTAATTTTTTAATCAAAAGCCAATTAAATTATATGGATTCAGTTCCCAATAAAATGCAATTTTTAACGAAAAGAAGTAAAGGGGCACATGTTTGATTATATTGATATGGATTAAGAAAATATTGTTTTTATACGTGGCCAGTTATGCCTAATAATATATTACCCAAAATTTCGTGTTAGAGATCTTTCTATTTACTCGAACAGAAAATTAGATTTTGTTTACAAATGACCAAACTGAAGCCATACTTTACTTAAAGCTCGTCATTATTTAAAACATGGAATTGGCTTAAGGTAATGCCTGACCACGTCACATTTTTAAATATTACGCAGCTGCATGCATGCGTTTGCTTTAATTTTCCAATATTATATGAAACAAGTTTTATTTATAATTTTATTTATTTACAAAATCCAGCCTTTGGAAATGAATTTTCTGTAAACGTTTCCTGTGTAATCCGGAAAGAAAACAGCATGAACCAAACTTAATATCAAATTAAAATTTTACCAAATGATCTTTCCAGCAGTTTTAATACTCTCAAATAAATGATTCACAACTTTTCACAGTAATAAAATGTTATATATTTTCAAAAAACTGTATATTTAATTAGCGATAGTCTGAGGCTGTATAAGTAACAAATACCGAGAACTTCAAATTCAAGCATATCACAAGACAACTATTCTTCTGTTAATAAAATTCGAAATATTTATGCTCGTAATCATTTGCGATTTATGCAAGACTGACGCGGCAACACATATCACAAAATATAAGCTATGTCTTGCCACAGATTTTCTTTAAATAAAAACACACCAACTATATAGAACTTAACGTTATGCAATGTTTACGAAAAAAGAAAAAAAGGTACTATTCGGTTTCGAGTGCCGTAAAAAATCGCCAAACTATTGTTGATGCCAATACTGCCAAAAATAATTGCGGCAACCCTAATAATTGCGGCAAGAAAGGAAGTATAATAGTAAATAACTATCTAAGATTGATGTTTTAATTTAGATGAAAGTTTAATTTCATATAATACTTTTTTATTATTATAATTTATATGAAAAAGGCTAAACATGACTGAATGGAAGCATAAGAGTAAATAACTATTTCAGATCATTCTTATAATTTATATAAAAATTGCTAAACATAACTGAATGGATAAGTTATTCGCTATTTCGCTACCGACTATCGCTAAAGCATAATTTCATCTCGTTGGTTGTTCAAACGTAATTTTCTATAATGAATGATGCCTTTTCTTTGAAAATATTCTCGGTAAAGTGCAGAATCGCTCACGTATTTGTTTGCCGCTTTTTACAAGTGTAAAAATAATTGAATTTTTGTCAATTTTCTTGTACTTTTTTAAGTGAAAATAGGTCGATGTGTACATAGATAAAGTCAAGGGTGTGAGCAGTGCCATTTTTGTGCAATTCTAGGATTTTTTTTAAGTGAAAATAGGTCGTGTGCACATGGATACCGAGTATGTGCAATTCTTAAAAACGCGTCAAGCAGTGGGTGAATCTGTACTTTACCCAAAATTCTATTGCCGACTTTTCGTCATGGGCAATTCCCAAATTGTTAAATCCATAGGATATCAAAAAAGGATTTAAAATCAAAAAATGATTTAAAAATTAAACTAGTATGTCAATGGCGTCTTAAGAAATATAGAACTTTATAAACTTACGCAATCTGAAATCAACGCGTAAAGCTAGATTCGGCGCGCTGTTAAATGGGCGCGTTTGCTAGATTTGGCGCTTTTGCGCATACATTTTCGCTGCAATTTTTTTACGGCCCTCAAAACCGAATAGTACCGAAAAAAATGGTATGCAAAATAATACGGAATTCTAACTTTGCATGCTTAAGAAAGGTTTTCCAAAAACAAATCCATATTACCGTAGTCATCCAAATTCTAAAAGATTCACCTACTTATTACTGTTCTTTTCTCATGTTGTTTCTCTCGCTCAGTGTCTCATTAGAGATTAGAAAGTACTTCTCTGTACTAATTAGACGAAGGCGAATACCCGATAAATGAAACCCAATCTCTGCGCTCTTCCAATCGAAAATTCAAATATTTGATTTTCCTTCCGGTGGAATAAAAATATCCTGCAGATCCGTTCTACTTAGCCTCCGAGCAGTATTATGCAGCGATAAATCATCAGTGAGGAGAATTATGGGTAGTTTCGACGAATACTGAAAAGAAGAGGTTTCTGTATAAAAATAAAAATTTGCTTGGAAAAGATAGGGATTAGATTTTCCACTCTCTCTTTCGAATTCTACTATGTAAAGGGGGTGAAATATTAAAAATTAAATTTTAATATCTTTTTGAAGAAATAATGCAAGGCAAGAAATAGAAGAAGTAAATAAATGCTTTCTCTAAAAAAGAATAAATTGTCGATGAGATTCTGATGTACCTTTTCAGTTTCGATGCTTTTATTGAGTGCAATACTTTGCAAGAATTACCATTGGTTATATGAATATCACCCTCCAAATTAATCATTGTGAAAGAAATTAATGACCTATGTCTCATATGTTATGATTTAATAATAATCTATAAAATCTATAAAAAATATTATAAAAGTTTTATTCCTTGAGTCAGGTATTATTTATTTGCTGTTTTCAATAAAAAAAGAATTACAATTAAAAAAGACCTGAAAGCTTTCAGACTTCATATTTTTATTAACGTTTTGACTGCAAATAGACAGATGTTTCTATTGAATTTTTGAAGAAAAACAGTTAAGTTTAAAGCACTGAATAAATTTCACATATTTCATTAGCAGTAAATGTCATTCTTATTGTATAACTGCAGATTTTGTTCTACTTTTACAGACGTTTTAGGAATTTAATTTGTTTTGCTTTTTATCAGGAAAGCTGACTGAAACTGGATAAGAATGCACTGAAAAATGAAATTAAGTATTATTCGAAGAAAGTTCAAGCAAAGCTTGTTTTGTTTTCACTATAGAAATATATACGCAGTTTGCTTTGGAAAAACAATTTCAATTTATACATTCTTTTATATTTTTAACTTTTAAGTACTATCAACTAATCACAAGCCACCAGAATTTGATGTTCTCAACAAATTCCTTCCAGTTATACTTCCTGATTTTGAGTTATATTTTAAGTATTGGAACTCAAACTGTGATTCGAAATTTTGAAAGCCTTGTCTTTAGGATCTATGTATGCGCCTTTCTTTGTATAACATATAATTTAAATACAAACCATTTTCTCTTTGAATATCTGTTTGAATTGTCTCTTTGAATGAAAAAGAAATGAACGAAATGAGGTCAAGACATAAAGCAATATCATTCCTTGGTAGTTTTATAGCAGTTGACCAGTAAATAACATCTGTGCAAGGAAAACAGGTATCCATCTGAAGTATTAGAAGATTAAATAAACAAGCATTATATCAGAGAAATTATATATGCCTTACTTATTCTCCAACCGCTGCATTTTGACTGCACATAATTCGCCCACTACTGCATTTTGAAGTTAATTTAAGGACATCCCTCTTCATAGTTTACCCATCATGGTTTTAATTGCCTCAAACTAGTAGCTAGCCCAACAGAAGCCGAATAGATGGGCCTGCACCGTTTAAGCCGCCGGGATGTAATCTTGGCGAAACAGGTTTCTGATAGGGGATGTTTTTATTCGTTTTTCCCGTGCGTAACTAGACTATGAATTAGTTTTCTTAGAAAGATCTCCTCAAAATCATCGTCTTCGCAGAAAAATAGCCTTTGAGTACTTTACCATAATCAGTTAATCTAATCTAAGCGTCTAGCAATGAATCTCGAATCCTTTAGAACATTCGTTCGCCAGCAGGCATGAGAAAAATTCTCACATGCTCTGCTATAATCCAAGTAATCCAGTTCTTCAACATACTAATAACCAGTAAGTTCTTTGCTCTTTTTTGTCTATAAGCCGATTAAAATACAAAATCTCAATAGCGCTTTCCTCAAACTTCTGTCATAAAGTCTCTGAAAAATACTATAAAATTCGTTTTAAAAATTAATCTTATATAAAACCGTTCTTTCAAAACTTATATATATATATAAATACATATAAAAATAAGAAATCTAAATTCTAGATACATTAAAGTAGAACAGAAAAACAAAAAATGATTAAAGAATTGTAAACAACTATAACCAAAACATGAGAAATTTGATAAACAGAAGTAAAAATATTAAAAAAATTATTTATTTTACATTTCTCGTGACATCTTTATCCGAGGCCGATGTCCCGAGAAAAATGAAAAATATACACCTTAAATTAATAAAAGTTACCTTAAATTGTACATTAACAGCCCAAATGAAATTTTATTTTATTACATGTCCATATTTCCGCTGAAAAGTCCAAGACAGAGATTAACAAATTTTGCACATAAGAAACAGAAGAAATAATAATACTGATAGTAATAATAAAACCATTTTTTAAATTTATGATAGTGTTGTATGATAGTACATGTTTCATGATATATAGAGAATCTACAAAGTTTCTGTGGATATTTTAGCTCTTTAATATTTGATTTTGCTCAAATGATAGCTTTTATATTATCTGAAAACATGAAAGGCGGATCTAGTAAAGGGTACAATTGTTTTTGCTACATCAACATACTAAGATCAACATAAATAGTATGTATAATAAAAATGGCGCTGTTTATTTGCAGATTTTAACCGCTTGCTTAGAACAATAACTGAGAGCTTATTCAAATTAAATCATAATTCACTGAAAATTTATGAAAGAGGCAACTGAAAACAGTATTTAAAATGCGGCGAGTTCATCTCAGAGGCAATACCCAAAGATTTAAATGATGCAATTTCACATCAACAGTTGTTAATGTATTAATAAAAAGTCTGTATTAAATCTGAAATATATTTCAAAGCTCAGGCTATATTCGAAAATTAGAATATAAATTTTTGTTCAGTTTTAATAAATTTAAGTTTGGCTTAGTTTAATTTTTTGTTAGTCTATTAAATTAGGAAAATGTGTGACTGCAGAAACGTTTTCTCCGATTTGAAGCAAGTGGAATCACAATTACTGCTATTTTGTTGGCGATTTTAGTTTTAGTTCTCTGAAGAATTGATTAGCTAAAAAATATTAACTGGGTTATAGCTTCTAGAAGAAACAAAGGAAACAGCATGTTAGTCTTTCTCCTAGAAATAGTTCATGTTTGCATCAATCATTTATCATAGATAGTTAATTTAACAAACAGAACATTTTAAAAAGAATATTTTTTGGAGTAAGAAATACCAGTTGCAAGTTTGAATTCTTTAGTTTCAATTTCCAGTGTTTAATGATCTTTAATCATTTTCAACGTACTTGATTGAATTAAAGCTTTTTGATTAAAATAGCATAAGTCTACAGAAAAAATGTATAGAAATAATTTTTAGTTATATACTGAATAAGGCTATCAATTAGCCGTACTCAGAGTTAAGTTAGAATGCGAAATTACTTAACAGCAGCTTCTCGCAATGGTCAGAAATGATAATCATATTCACATGATAGAAATAGCAATTACATAGAGTAGATCTTAAATATAAGCTGAAAAGATTTAATTTGCTCTGTTTGTATTTGATGTGGATATGAACTTGACATCTTGCCTCGTCGAAGGTGAACTGAATAATGCTCTCCAAACACAGCATGTTATTGGACAAACTTGCAAGAATATAGCGGATGTGTGACTGTTTTTTATAAATTAATGCGGTGTTTTTCCGCCGAAATAAATTTGTGCGCATACTCGTGTTAATTTTCATATTACTGGAGTAAATAATATTAATCATAAATGTTAGACCCGAGAAGATCAACCAACTTATGAATAGCATATTAGAAAACTTGAAATATATCTTAACAGCTACTGTTGACGCATTTAGCAACTTTTTCTCAGATATTGTAGCGACAATCTTTCTTTTTCTATAAAACCTTATCAATGAAAATATGTAAATTTAGATATATTACAGTTTTATCTGTGAATCATATACTCGCCGCTTTCAGTAAATTCCATACTTCCATTCTTTAATTCGCGCTGCCTAGATGGCCTCGTATACATGCATAAACGCAACAAAAACTTTCATAAAACCTGTAGCGTTGACTACTTTTTCCTGTTTAAATATTTCAGCGTTACCATTTCTTTTACCATACATACATACCATCTTCTTTAACAATCTCATCGCATTCTCTACGTGATTTGTATGCACAAGACTCCATCTCTCTTATTTCTGTTTTTCTGTAACATACACCAGCTGTGCTGTTATGTAGTAATCCTTATTCGAGAAACAGTCGTTGCATTTTAATCTCTATTTTAATCCCTAGGAGAAAAGTTTCAGAACGTAAAATAACATCGTTAGTTGAAAGCAAACAGAAGCTCCCGAAGCTCTTTCTGTTTACGTGTTTTCGTCGAATATTAAGTAAGTAGACAGTTAAGAAGTTACGTTTATGAGATATATTTAAATACATAAATTTCAACTATACTAAAGCAGAGTGTTTGACTGTGAAGCTCCGTTTTTTTACTTCTATTTCATTGATATACTGTTAATTATTTTTAAGTGCTTATTTTCGGCTAGGCTAATTTTTTTTAACCTCGTAGTTGAAAATGATTAAAAAGTACTGAAACGAGGAGGCTTACCCTAAACAAATTGTTGATGTTTAAATTCTGAATATGTATTATGACACGATGCTGTCATACTGAATAGCATTTTCGAAGAAACGCTTGTCTTTGCTATCATCGATTACTATATTGTGAGGTTAGTAAGAAAACACAGGTATAAAAATGCATGTGAAATTAAAGAAATATTAACGGCTTGGATCTGGTAATTGAATAGCTCATGCTAAGACTTTTGTGAGATTAAACTGAATATTTAACGTAACGGGTAACCATAGTCTACCTGACGAAATATTATCAGGAAAAACTATTTCATCTTCAAACGCTAGTCAAATTAAAATTTCAATAAACATTTATTCAGCCACATCTGGCTAGCACTATTAAAATGTTGTCATAAACTAAAAATGACTGACTGATTGTATAAACAATATTACAAAATGCATCTATTTGTGCTGATAGGTTATATTCAATTAATTACAAACTAAGCTATAAATTCTAAATTCTAAACACCTGGTCTGCTTGAGTATTGGTCATAAAGTAGTTATTATAACCACAATGAATAACTATTGCTGCTCATAAGCACAGCACTAACTAATACTAAGACATAACGGTGGCGTGGTAATACACTTACGTTTAAGGTTAACCTAGTGCTTTTTAAGTATATCGCATGTTATTAATTTTGCATAACTTTCTGATTTAAGTAAACATTGTGATATGAGCCAAGAAATAAAGGCCAGAATTTAATTCAAATCTAATTATTAGTAAATTTATTGCCATTAATCTATTAATCATATCTAAAAAGACATCATGAATGAATGAATGAGTTTGCTCATCTCAGTCCCAGTTTTGATCAAAAGTAAATGTAAATGCAAACTGATACTTTTTCACTCGAATTGGTTTTCCACAAATCTACCTAGAGAACAATCTGATCATTGTATTTTAATGTCCTTATTTCTCAGTGAAACTATTGTCATAAATATTCTTTGAGATTTGAAGTAAATCTTTCCACAAGGAACTTTAACTCATAAAGAACGTTCACATGAAAGCTTTGCGGTCACAAGTAGCATAAACCTAACTTGCCAGACATGCACACATTGCTGCTTCACAAAACCTGGTACAAGGATTTTCCTTAAAATCCTTTCAGTCTTTATAAAACTTTGCAAAGAACCGGGCAAACCTATTGAAAGATACACGAACTGACGCATGATTGAGAATCTCTCTGCGAAGTAAGCTTCAGATTCACTCATGCGTAAATTTACCTTCTCTGATTGGCTACAGATTATCCACAGGGATGAACGAAATTAACGGTTTCTGCTCTTTAATTTTCACAATAAAGGAGATCAATTCAACGTGTGAAGCCAGCCACAGGTTTCCCTGATTGGTTACAGCCGAAAACATCGCAGACAAAAACGTCGCGGAGAAAACAACGCAAAGAGAAAACGTCTTGATGCAAAATATCGTGGAAGAAAATATCGCAATAAGAAAATATCGTGGTCGAAAGTAAAGAGGTTCAAAAACTTCGCAGTTTAAAAACATCGTGGTAAAATATAAAGTACCTACAAATCATCACATAACGATAACATCGCATACATGCATTTTTCAAGTTGCATAGTGACGTATTATGAAATTGACTCGTTATAACTAACAAATCGATATCCAAAACATTGATTGCACGCTATGCATACAAATGTTAAAGATGCTAATGACACTTTCAGAATAAATGGAAACAAAACAGTATGTAAATTTCATTAAAATAATATCAGATTAACAAATGTGAAAGAAAATAATTTCATCATTAACTAAGCAATTTTTACAGAGGTAATCTCATGCAGTTATTTATCTACCTTTTTCTAATAATTTTTAGACTGTATTTTTCATGAAAAATGATCAGTTAAACTTTAAAAAAAGCTTAATTTATTAATTACCTTTGTTAAATAAATCTATAAATTAAA